CCTCTGTCTATAACACTTTTATCAGAACAATACCCAGTGTCCATTAGCAGTCACTTCTGCACAAATTTTGGCATCTACTGCATCTATTGATCCCCCTTCCTTCTTTTCTTTTGTCCTTTTAAAACAATTTTTTTTTTGTTTTGGGGATAGACATGGTCTGATGTAGTACAGGCTAGCCTAAAACTCTCTGGATAGCTAAGGCTGGATCTTATCCTCTTACAGAGCAGTACTTCCCAAGTGCTGGGATGACATAGTGAACCATCCTGCCCCATTTACTCAGTGCCTGGTTTCCCTTGTGTTTCTATGGGTTTTCTTCTCTTTTGTATAAATGGCACTGTTCTTCCCTGGCTTATTCTCTCTACCTGTTCCAAGAGCAGCCACCCTGGCAAGGATCATCACTGTGATCTTTGTTCTGCTGAGTAATATCCCATCATCTGGACAAGCCACACTTTGGTTCACTTGCTCATCTGTTGGTGAATATTTGGTGTTTCCACCTCTGGGGATGGGGAAATGGGCTACTCTTGAACATGTGCGTGTATGTGTTCCTTCGGGTACCTGCTTTCAAGTCTCTTGACTTTCTTCTCTCTTTACTGGTATTTACTGAAATCGCTTCTCAGAAAAGTTGCTGGGATTCGGATCCTTGACTTTGGGCCAGTTCCTAAAGGGAATAAAACAGTGACAGGAGTTGAAGAGTGAGCAGGGACGCATGCTCTGCAGGCTTAACCCCACACACCGCAGGGCTGTGAAACCAGCTTCTCCAGGAATCCCACACAGACCAGGAGGTCGAATCCCAGCTCAGTTCCTCCAATCCAAGGAGCTCAGTTCCTCCAATCCAAGGAAGAATTGAGTACCAGGGCCGTGTATCAGCTGCAAAGTGCCTTCCTAGAGAGCCCCAGTGAGAGGCTGGGATGTAGAGTCTGGAGTAGTCTTTCTGCCTAGAATCCCCCAGTGAGGGACTAAGACATGACTCAGGGGCAGATCCCTGGCTCAGCATGCCCAAAACCCTCAGCTTAGTTCCTAGCATTGCAAAAGAAACATAGTAAAATTAAAATAGAATAAAGTTTTGGTGAGGAAGTGGAGAAACTGGAACCTGTGTGCACCATGGAGTAGAACGTAACCAGCTCAACCACTTCAGAAAGCACTCCAATTGTTCCTTTGAGAGCTAAGCAGAAGGTGGTGCCTGCCCTTTTCAGCACTGGGAAGACTAAGGCAGGAGGAGCAAGAGTTCAAGTCCATCCTCAGGCACACTGTGTCTAATCCCAGCCTGAGCTACATGAGACCTTATCTTTTTATTAGGCATGTCCACATGTGCACACACACACACACACACACACACACACACACACACACATTGGGGGGAGGAGCAGGGGAAAGGATAGAGCACCAAAGAGATGGTTCCATGGGAAAAGGCACTTAACATCAAGTCTAATGATTTGAGGTTGAGTTCCAGGACACACATGGTGGAAGGAGAGAATCAATTCCCATAAGTTAGTCTATGACCTCTACATGTATGCCATGGCATGTACACACACACACACACACACGAGCCTAATATAAACCTAGAATGACCTAATGCAGAAAGTCCACCTCTGGGTGTATATCCAGATGAAAGATGTCAAACAGTTATTTGTACAGCTCGTCCATAGCAGCAATATTCACAACAGCCAAAAAGCACATACTACCAGGCAGGGGAGTGAATGAGTAAGAGGTGGTATATACATACGATAGAGTATGATTCAGTGAAGACCAGGAAGGAGAAGTCAGGCATATGCTGTGATACAGGTGAGTCCAGAGAACATTACACTCAGCGAAATAAGCCATCACAAAAAGATCGACATTAGCTAGACACTGCAGTTCATGAATGCAATCCCAGCATTTCGGAGGTTGAGGCAGGAGGATTGCACATTCGAGGTCAACCTGGGCTATATTGTAAGACTCTGACTTGTATAACAAACAAGAAGCAACTCAATGGAGACACAAAGCAACAGTGCTGTTCTGTTTATATTACATTCCATTTGAGTCATTCAAGGTCTGGAGTCGGGAAGCAGAGTGGACTATTTAAAGGGCAAGGGAGAGCCGCATGCCAGAGAGTGTGTAACAGGGACAGTTTTCATAGCATGGAGATGGTTGGCTGTGCCACATGGTGAATGTGCTCTGTGCAGCTGAGCTGGACCCCAGAACAGCCCCACAGGGAAAACTTCTGTGGACTCTATTCTATTGCAATTTAAAGCTATTTACTGGGCATTTCAGATTGGTCGGTAGATGAAAATGCTTGCTTTGAAAGTCTGGTGCCTTGAGTTTAATCCCCAGATCCCAGTGTGGGAGAAGAGGGCCAACTACAGCAAGTAGTCCTCTGACATTTCACACAGGAGCCATGGATAAATGCACATACACAAAATAGATGTAATAGAATTAAAAATAAATAGAATTTAAAAAAACAAACAGATGTGAACCTATAAACAAACCATGTGAACCTATAACCCCAGGGTTGGAGAACACATGCAAGTGCAGAGCCAGAAACTGGCAGATTCCAGGAGCCCCAAAATGACAAACTCAAGTTCAGTGAGAGACCCCACCCCAAGGAAAGAAAGTAAAGAGAAGGGACACTGGAAGTCTTTCATTGGCCTCCACATGCATTCACCAGCACCCAGGCACAGATACAGACACACACACTTACACAAGTATAGGCCAGGAGGAACAGGTGTGTTCCTTTTGGAAGACTCTGAGGCAGGGGCAGAAGCAAGAAGTAAGCATCTTCCCAAACCGAGACACAACAGCTCTGTGTGTGTCAAGTCCCAGGCAGAAACTCAAAAGTAGTCATGCTAGCTGGGTAGTATGGCTCAGACCTGTAATGCCAGCACTCAGGAGGCTGAGACAGGGAGTCTGAGACTAAGGCCATTCTTAGTCTGGGGTACACAGTGAGACCCTGTATCAAAAAAGAAAAAAACAAAACAGAAAAAAACTAGCCAGACTCAGTGACACAGGCCTTTAATCCTAGCACTCAGGAGACAGAGACAAGTGAATTTCTGTACATTTGAGGCCAGGCTGGTCTAGAAAGTGAGTTCAGGACAGCCAGGCTTGAAAAACACAGAGATATCCTGCCTTGAAAAAACAAAGATAGATAGATAGATAGATAGATAGATAGATAGATAGATAGGCAGATAGGCAGATAGGCAGATAGGCAGATAGGCAGATAGATAGGTAGATACATACATACATACATATACATACTACACAGATACATAGATAGATAGATAGATAGATAGATAGATAGATAGATAGATAGATAGACAGATACATAGATAAATACATAGATACAGAGAGAGAGAGAGGAGACAGAGAGACAGAGAGACAGACAGAGAGAGAGAGACAGACAGGCAGGCAGGCAGGCAGGCAGACAGACAGACAAAAGGTTTGAGGGTGTAGCTCAATTGGTAGAGCATTTGCCTAGGGTGTCAGGCCCTAGGTTTCATGCCCAGAACTACATCACAGGGTAGGGGAGAGGAATGCGTGTCTGTGATCATAGACTTAGGAGGGAGAGGCCGGAGGAGCAGGCATCCAAGGCCATCCTCAGCTACATATATGCAAAAGCAGTGGTTCTCAACCTTCCTAATGCCTTGACCCTTCAATACAGTCTCTCCTATGTGTATGCACACACACGCACACACACACACACACACACACACAATCTTTTAAGTAATAAAAATAAATCTTTAAAGGGGGCCTGGAGAGGTGTCTCAGAGGCTTCAAAGAGCACTGACTGCTCTTTCGGAATACCTGTGTTTGATTCTCAGCACCCACATGGTGGTTCTTAACAATCCACAACTCCAGTTTCAGGGGATACAATGCCCTCTTCTGACCTCCGTGGATGCCCTGTATATACATGATGCATAGGCAAATATGCAGGCAAAGCATTTATATGCTCTGTACAGGGAGTTCCAGGACAGCTTAGGTGACTCAGAGAAACTCTGTCTTGAAGAAACAAAAAGAAAAAAGGAAAGGAAAGGGAAGGGAAGGGAAGGGAAGGGAAGGGAAGGGAAGGGAAGGGAAGGGAAGGGAAGGGAAGGGAAGGAGGAGGGGGAAAGAGAAAGAGAGAGGAGAGAAAGAGAGGGAGAGAGAGAGGGAGAGACAGGGACAGAGGGAGAGGGAGAAGGAGAAGAAGTGGTATAGGTAGGTAGCATTTCACCTGTGCAGCTCCCAAGGGCACACACCCTAAGAAGTATTCATAACTCTATGTGTTTAACAGTCTAACAGTAGCTGATGAGAAAGTCTCTGTGGCCAGGCCAGGGAAGCCAGCCAGTGACTGACCCCATCCACTGAGGTCCTTTCCCAAGTGCCTCCACAGCCACACCCTCACTAAAGGCTCCTCATGGCTTTCTTCAAAACACTGGGTGGCGGATGCCTTCAGTGATGTGTGTGTGACTCAGTTCTAGGCGTTGGAACTAAAGTGGTGAACATGACAGACGTGGCCCTGGCTCTCCAGGGAGGAGACTACTTACTTGTACCTGACGCAACCAGGTGCAAGGTATCTAGAGAGGGAGCAGAGGGGAGTGGCATTTAGGAACATTCTTTTAGTGAAATTTACATGTATCTATTTTTTTATGGGTCATGGTATCATGCTGAGGTCAGAGGCAAATTCGTAGGAATTGATCCTGTCCTTGCACCATATGCGGTCAAGGGATCAAACTCTGGCTATCAAACTTTTGGCAAATAGCTGCACCTGTTGATCCAGCTGTCCAATGTGATACTTTCTAATCCCCAGAATCTGCGTTGGGGCACTTCCTTCCTTCTTTCTTTCCTCCACCCTGCCCCTTTTTTATGTCTTTGTTTAATTTTTAAATTACATCTATTTATTCACATATTTATCAAGGAGGCAAGTACACCACTGTGTGTGTGGAGACAGAAGACAACCTTCAGGAACTGGTTTTTCCCTTGAGGGTCCTAGGTATTGAACTCGAGTCATCAGGCTTGGTGGCAGGTGCCTTTACCCACCGAGCCATCTTCCCAGATCCATTTCTTGTTTGTTTGTTTGTTTCACGGAGCCCAGACTGGCCTTTATCTACAGATGCTCCAGTCTCAGCTTCTCAATGTGGGGATTACAAGCATACTTCACCAGTAGCAGCTTTTTCTTTCTTTCCGGCTTGCTTGCTTGCTTCTTTTCGTGTATGCTTGCATAATGCACGTCAGGCTTCATTCTCAATTGCTCTCTGTCTTGCTCTCATCACCACTATAGCCTCTCACTGAACCCACAGCTCACTGGTTTGACTAGCTAGCTGGCCAGCAAGTCTCATGACTCCTCGTGTCTCTGCTTCCCCAGAGGGGAAGACTGACACTTTCATGCCCAGTGTTTCGTGTGTGTGCTGAGAACCAAACTCAGATGTTCATGCTCACCAGCTAAACCATCTCTCCAGCCTCACCGTCATTGTCTTCCTCAATGCATGCCTACTCTAACACACTCCATGTCTTCAGCCTGGCTCCGGAGCCCATTAGGAGTTCCCACCACCACCGCTCTCTCACCAAGGATCCCCTCCCCCAGTCCAGTGTAGAGTCCTCTTTGCCATGCGAGTCATAGGTGTTTGGGTTCTTCACTGTAGTCTCTCCTCTTCCTCCTGTGCACACTTCTGGGGACCCCACACCATTCCCAGGCCTTCAGCAACC